CCACCCCCACCCCCACCCCCCAGTCACCCTCTCTCTCTATCTCTGCTTTCCTTATCCCTCCTTATTCCACATTCCTCTTACCGGACATAACCCCGGCGGTCACAGTGGACGTTATGGGGGCTTTCCTCTCACTGACACGCGCCAGGAAGGAGAAGAGCAGGCCATCCCGAGCCATGGCAAAGATGATACGGGGTAGGGGAAACATGGAACCCAACAGACTGGGGCGGAGTGGGGAGGAAAACATCAGATTGGGACGACAGTTGTAGGCGTAGGGCGGAGGAGCAAGAGGAAAGGAAGAATTGGTCAGAGGTCAGTAAGCGAGAAAAAGGGAAGAATTAGTGAAAGGAGATGGATACGGTTGGTAAGATAGGAGTTATGGGATAGCGGACAGGAGAACGTGGAATGGGATATCAGGCTGGCTGTACTGTAGAGCAGCAGGAGGCATAATGTTGGTCCAAGGACATTCTCATGCCAGCATGCAAAACTTCTCTCCCTTAAATAGCAAATATGGTGCTCCATGCTGTTATTCTCCATTCCAATGTAAAATCTTAGGTTACTTCACCATGCAGTTTAATTCGGTATTAATATTCTTCCTCTCATCACTAAGATGCAAGCAGAAAATATCCCTCAAGTCTCCTAAGGTTCATTAGAAATAATATCTAGTGACTGACCCATGCTAGATGAATGACAAAGTAGAGATACAATAACGTGGACTGCCTCAGCTAACTAAAAACAGACCTGGACAGTTAGTGATGACCTTTTCATGCCCGTCTGCTGATTTCTGGCAGGTTTCTTCAATACACACTTAAGAGATTTTGCAACTGATAGGCCAGAACATTTGCAGCCCTGCAGCATGAAAAGAAGCCTCAGTGTACATGGATGCAGTTTAACACATGCGTGTTAGTGTCTCACCTGCCCCTATGCCAGAGGTGAGGGTTGCAATTAGCGGGGTTTTGGTGCGGGGGCTGATCTCGGCCATGAACTTGAAAAGCAGCCCATCGTCGGCCATAGCCCAGATCACGCGGGGCATAGGGAACATAGCACCCAGCAGGCTACCGGGGAGGAAGGAAGACCAGCACATATAGTTTCCACACTTACAGCCACAGGGATGCCGTGAAACATACATGAGTACAGACTGTGTACATACATTACATTTACACATTTACGCAACATAATATATACAGTTAATGACATATAGGGTAAGAATAATAGTGGCATGCAGGAACATGTTCAATATTAAGGCACACATCTGCTCCCAGCCATTAACCTGACCTCAAATATACTGTGCACACGTTTTTGAATTAAGAATGGAAATAATTCATAATCATGCATTATAATGATCTATCAAAGCAAAATTCATGTACAAAATAAAGTACAATAATACCGACATTATAAAACTATTAAAAACTGATTGTTAGTAAAAAAAAACTAACAAAAAAACAAAAATTAAAAATTAAAAATTAAAAATTAGTAAAAAAAAGTTGTGGTGGCCTTCGGTGACATGTTATATAATCACATACATACACTGATGGTACCATGTATCCTCAGCAGTGCTCTTATTTTTAGTCAAGGGATCAAATGCCGTCTGAGGTTAAATATACACTCTTGTAACGTGCACACACACACACACACACTGAGAGAGAGAGAGAGAGCGAGAACTAGTGTAAATGGGCATGCATTTGAAACTAACGGCAAACCGGTGCAGGAGTGTGCAAGTTGCTTACCTCGTAGACAGAGCACAAAGAGAGCCTACAGCTACAGCATATTTGGCTCCCCCCCAGCCCACGTATTTAAAGGCTACAGGCAGAGGGCTGTTGCTGTCCAGCAGGTAGTATGGCATCATGAGGGTGAGGGCAGCAGACACACCGAAGTACGCCACGAAGCAGATGAGCAGCGAGGACACGATGCCGATAGGGATGGCTCTCTGGGGGTTCTTCACCTCTTCACCTAGACGGAGGCATAGAGAGACACAGTGAAAAGAAGCAATAACAATGCAATTTATTATTTTCATTGATTTATTTATTATTCATTATTTATTACTTCACCAGCTGCTGACATTTGTCTTTAAAACTTCTGTTGTCATATCAGTCTAGCATCCCTCCCCCAGCTGCTCCGCCACTGTTTGTTGGTAACTAACTATCATAACCACATTTTAATGCAAGGACTGAGCAGACTCTGAAATGCACACAGCCTTCACTCCTTTATGGCTGCACTGGCAGACTTCCAGGAAACATGGAAACCTGAGCAAACAGATGTATTTAAGAAACATTCCGCATGGTATTTTGCAACAAATTGAACAAGGAGCTTATTTTCCCTGCGCACCCACAAGACTGAAACACCCAACTATTCGGCTGTAGGCGATTATGCAACAGCGCTCCTGAGGCGAACATTCAGGTCTTGTTCTGCGGTGAAATCACATCGGGATGATGGAGTGTGTATAACCCTGTCTGGATCCTCTCCTACACCACTGACGGCTACTGATTGGCCTATTGTTGGAAGGTCAGGGGTCACAAGCATAACAGTGGTAACAGTTGTATATGTGTGTGTGGGTGTGTGGACGGGGGAGGGGATAATAGCTTCAAGACAACTTAACTGTAGGTAGCCAAAACACACACCGACATGTGTGTGTGTGTGCATGTATGTGTGTGTGTGTGTCTGTGTGTGTGACAGACACGCTCCCACAAGCCAAACTCAAGCAATCATTCAGGGTTAACTTCACGCTAGCCAATCAAATTTCAGGAAAAAGAGGGGTGGGAAAAGCTCGGGGGCCGGAGAGCAGGCAAGCTGGAAGAAATTTGTAAACGCTCCTTTTTTTTCTTTTCCTTTTTTTGTTTTTACAACCCAGAGGCCGTGAAGTGATTAAACCGGACTACCTGCATGAAGACACACACCTATTCACAGGTGTAGATCTGCACAAAAAAAAAAAAAAAGAAGCTCACATCACATCTTGATTTATGCCCCTGACCCGCGTCACTGCGCCTGGCATTCTGCCAAGAGCAGAACTGGGCCAAATGTACTAAAGTACATCTTTTCTCTGTGCTCTGGCCCTCTTATGTAATACTCCTGGCTGTTTAGACAAGCAATTGAAATGGTCCCAACTCCAGATCCAGTTACTACCCCCCCCCCCCCCAACTGGAACTGAAACGTACCCATGAGGCAGTGGAAGGGATTTTAGAAGTGGAACAAGAGGAGAATGCGGCCAGCAGAGTGAGCGGTTTCCTGGTTTAATCCAGCACTGACCTGTGGTGGCGATGCAGTCAAATCCGACAAAGGCATAGAAACAGGTTGCAGCCCCTGACAGGACGCCTGTAAATCCAAATGGCATGAAGCCGCCCACTCCTAAACGTTCTCGTGTTGGCAGGACCTCTGTCAGACTGCAGAGCAGAGGTGAAATATGAATAAAAACAGCAGAAACCGACCTGTACTGGATGAATTTGTTCCCCAAAATTATAAAAAACAAAAAAACAAAAGCAGTTTTCAGTGAGATCTGTGGATTATCTGAGTAACTGAGACACTGAAAAATATAGTATCCGAAATACCATTGGATAGAACATCTTTGATATGAGAAAGCGTGTATGTCTACATGCTTACTTGAGGCTTGAGTTACTGGTATGATTGGCATGTAGGATCTCCTCAGGGTCTAGCTGCCAGTTCTTCAAAGTACCCTTGACCAGCCCTGAGACCACCATGAACAAGAGGACGAGGATGTTGATACATGTAAAAACCTTGTTCACCATCGCTGACTCTTTGACCCCAAATGCCAGCAGACCTTAGAAAGAGAGAAGACGTAGGAAGGAAGAAAGAAATGAGAAAAAAGTTTGTTCGGAGGGAGAGACACAGAGGTACAGGACCCCATGGCATAAATGAAACTTGTCACACAGGTTTTTCACTCTTATTTGTCAACTAATTGTTTACAGTGAATATCTGCCCCTGCAGCAACTGCTACAAGGGTCAAAAGCTTAAGGGTGAGGCGCTGCTTACCGGCGAAGATAAATATGCTCAATGAGAAGCAAACATGATAACACAAGAGCGAGGGACAGTGAGAAAGGGGGGGGGGGGGGGGGGGGGGGGGGGGGGGGGGGGGGGGGGGGGTTCTTACCTGTGAGGGTGATTATGATGACAACAGCAAACATGTCAGGGTACTCTGCCAGCACGCCCGGTGCATTCATGGACATGTACTCCCTGCAGAACTGCTCTATGCGCTTCCCTACCAACTCGTCGAAGGTGGCGCTCCACGCGCGGGCCACACTGGAGGTGCCTGAGATGGAGAGAGGGAAGCAGAGGGACATCTCTCAGTGTCTTTCCCCTGTTTTGAGATGCAGTACTTGACGACTTTTAATCTCCTATAAATCGAATCTAAAGACAAGTAATTGCCTGTAACTACAAAAGTGACGAAAAGGAGACGACAAAGTAGGAAACGCTGCGTTGCCGTACCAATGATATAGGAGAGGATGAGGTTCCATCCGGTGATGAAGGCCCAGAGCTCCCCTACAGTCACATAGGAGTAAAGATAAGCTGAGCCTGTCTTGGGAACACGGGCTCCAAACTCAGCATAGCACAGACCAGCCAACACTGAGGCTAAGGCTGCTATCAGGAAAGACAGCACAATGGCAGGACCTGGGTGGAGTGGGGGGGTTGGGGGGTTAAAGAGAATCAAATGATAAGAAGATTTGTCCCAGATGACATCTTTGAATGATTTACTGTAATGTTAACTTACCAGAATTCTCTCGTGCAACAGCCCCGGCTAGCACGTAGACGCCAGCGCCCAGAGTGCTTCCCACGCCCAGGGCCACCAGGTCAAAAGTGTTGAGACATCGAGACAGACGAGAGTCCTCTGTGTTACAGTTCACCACCTTCACCCTCAGCAACTGCTTCCCGAAACCCAGAAGCTTCTCCAGCGCCATGGATCACAGTCCGGCCACAGGCGAGGAAGGGGAGGGAGGAAGGGGGGGGAGGGGGAGCCGGTCAACCGGGATTCAGAGGTCACAGGGGAGAGGGCGAGAGGTCACATACACCCTAATGGGAGGCAAAGGACGGAGCAGATGAAGGACAGTAATTCAGCAAAGTACGTTTCTCACACTTGGAGCTGAATGGAAAAAAAAAAAAAAAAGAATCCAACACAGATATATGATAAAAGCAACCTGCATGATGCTGCATGTAAGTATAAACACGGGTGGCACAGTGGTACAAGTGTTACAGTTCGGGAAAGGGGTTCACTTGAGCTTGTAAAACTTGATGTAAGTAGAACACGGTTTCCTGGGACGTTACATAACGCAACCCAAATCCACAATGTGTGACTGCTAGCCAAAAAAACGGGGGCCTATAGGGATAATCCATCTTATTGCTGGATACGTTGCCGACATATGTTACATAATGCAGCGCAACTCACAGGAGAGGAGGCAAAGCCCTTCAACAGACTGTTCGACACGGAGAGAATCAGAACTCAGGACAAAGAAACACAGTCTTGAATCATCACACTGAGTTACTCCTACGCATTGCAGAAGAAGCAAGACCAACACTGCTATTTACGTTTCTTTGTTACATAGAACAAACAAGGATATACCACTGTTTACAGCGCTCAGAGTAAACACAATTAAAAGAAAGCAAATAAGATACTTAATGGAAGAAACTAGACAGAAGGAGAATCTACACTTATTCCAAATATAATATTTTTCTGCACTAATTAAAAAGGAGGATTGGGTTTAAAATCTTGAAGCCGACAGATTTAACAAAGAACGCTCCAAATTGAAGCTGCAGATGCCGAGACTACCTGACTTTTAGCCCCTTGTATGGGTCAAGCTCCGAAACCACTGGATCCTACAATTCCAAAAACGCAACTGACAACATCTTGCATTAGATCCTCGCTGCACCCTTCTTTTAAACCCCTCAGCATCCTATCCCATTAGGACCCGGCCCTTACTGCAGCCCTTACATGTCATCATGCCTTACTTCATGTGTAAAATTGGTGTAGTCACCCTCAACTGTTACTGTTGGACTTAACTACACACATATACACAGACTCATATTAAAATTTGATGGTCTGTGATCATAAAAAAAAAAAAAAAAACAGCAAAGTTTGAAACCAGACTGTCTACTCTCTGGAGGCGAAACCCAGCTGTAAGTCTTCTTTCCAAAGTTTTTTCTCTGGGTCAGTAGCCTGTCCAACATCTTATACACATTCCCCAGTGCTGAGCTCACATACTGAGAGGTAATATTTGATATTCGGAAGGAGAAAAAAAATATGAAGGACAGATGGAGGGAAGGAAAAGGGAAAAAAAGAGGGGAGGGGGTGTAAACATTGTAAGTTAAGTGGTGGTGGTCTGGCAGATGTCCTGTGGTATGTCCCATGGAAGAAAGACCAGGAGTGACGTGCAGTAGCATAACACCGCCATCCATTTCTAGATAATGGCTTCTCTCCAGAGCCCATTGACATGAGCACACAAATCAAAGGTCGTGTGGCGAGTGCAACAGTCATGTCACGTCTGATGGAAACTTCCACACAAGGGTAAGCCAAGGTGATGACCTTTTTATTCTTTCCAGAAAAAACATTCAGGCACAAATATTGTACAACTTTCCAACCTGGCCTAATACAGCACGTATGAAAAAAAGTACACTTGTTGTAAAATGACCAACTATTATACTCATATACAAACAAAGCCTATATTTTGATCTATAAGTAAAATAAATGCCGAGTCAATTAATCAAATAGTCAATTTTGATAGTCAGATCATCATTATAGTCTTTTTTTTAAGCAAAAATGCCAAACAATGTGAAGATTTTATGCTTTTCTTTGTCGTATATGATAACAAACTGAATATATTTGGGTTTTGCACTAATGGCTGGACAAAATGAGAAATTTAAAGACGTCACCTTGAAATGTGGTAAATTATAAAGGCTTTTTTTCCCGTAATTTTTTAAAATATTTTATGGATAAAATTGTTTACTGATTAAACAGGAAAATAAACATCAGATTAATTGATGATGAAAGTAATCCTCTCAGGCTGTTTGAATAGGCAGTAAGAGGCAGTGATGGGTGGAGGAAGCCATGTGGCAATGTTGTCGTATTATGATCATGTCTTTCTGGACTTCTGCATTTCCTCAGTTATTCTCCTCTCTTGTTAAACTGAAACACGAAAGCTTTCCGAAGCTTCGGACGTTACACTTTACAGAGATTGCGATTATTGAACCAAACCGAAATTGGAAGTGAATGAGACGAGTGAGGGTGATTGTGAAAAGAGAGGGGGACACGCCCCCACCAATGCACAGTGGAAATTACCCCATATGGTGAAGGGTTCCCTTATTGTATCCCACTGTGGAACTGCCTACAACATTATGTTTCTTTAATACAGATCTCATACAAGATTATATTTGTTAGCACAGGTTTTTTTTTAAATTGTGTTTTGTTACACTATATTTTACCGACAAGAGGGGGGGGGCGGGGGGGCAAATTGCTGACCGGCCCAGAGAATTCATGGATGTATGGATGCCTCTATAGGACATTATCATACCCTAATCAAAATTCCAAATAAAATTCATCACCATTGTATTTACACATTATATATAAACCACACTGAACGCACTCAGTTAATGTCAGCGCATGATTATGAAATGCAGACATAAGCAAAACTATTGCCTGAGAAAATTTAGAGAAAATGTTTTTAAGTCATCTGTTAACAAAAAAATAAAAAATAAATAAAAAACGCAAACAATAAAAAGCCGCTCCTCAAATAATCCATGAAATTACTGGACTGAACCAGCAGCAATTTATATTATCATTCATCCCAAATAAAACAAAATAAGATGATTATTACAACAGTTCGTGTGCCACATTACTGTAAAGAAAAGCTGAGGGTGAAAATGCCATTCGAACAGCCCTGGGTAAACATAAAGCGCCTATAGGAACGAAGACACACATGCACACACATAAACACAGAAGGCAGTAGCCTGTGTGAGCCACATGACCCCTCCCTGACCTGGGTACGCAGGTTATGCAACTGCCTAGTCAAAACCGTCTCCTGTCAATACAATTCATCAGACCGATTGATGACACCTTAAATGGAAGGAAATCTGACAATTCAAAACAATCTTCTGCGTATGAAACAGGGAAACATACAGAAATAAACATTGTTCATATTGCATGCAATGTCAACGCTTTCAGATCAATGTCAAAATGGCATTAACCTCTTCCCACGTGGCGGAGTAAGAAAACATACAAAGTACTTACTTGAAAGCACCTACAGATACGATTCGCCTGTTAATCTGAGCATAAAGTTTGAAAGACCGATGACAGATACAGGGATTATTTGTTAACTATCCTTCAAGCTGCTGTGAAGAGTGAGAGCGTTCCACGGCCGCCGTTCTGAAATAGAGTCTGGAGGAATCACATGGCTCGGCTATTCCAAGCAGCACATGCACATGCACACACACGCGCACACACACACACACACACACACACAAGCACGGGCAAACTGTAGCAGTAGCTGGTTGGTGGTGAAAACCTTGATACATACTTTTTTTTTACGGTTAAAAACTCTGGATGCTCTTGGACTCTTATGTCACCAATGGACTACAGTTGCACAGTCACAGAAGAACGCAGTTTATGTGTGAAAGCGGCAGCTTCTTGGAACAGAAATGTACCACGGCAAGATCTGACAAGTGGTGGTAACTGTTGGCTGCATCCACATAAGCCTTTGGGTTAGGTGTCACTCATGCACACAAGCGCATACGTGCATGCTTTATCTGAATTCACTCTGATGAAACGTTTATTTACACAGGAATAAATACCAAGAAGAAGAAGAAGTTACAAAAGAAAACGTGTTCTACACTAACACACGTACAGGAGCCGGTGTCAGTTTAAAAGTGACTTGGCTGAGTACGGTAGTTGAGATGTGACGAAAGAAGAGGCAGTGCCCATCAAATGGGGAGGGAGTGGGTGAACAGGAAAGGGGGGTGTGATCCTTCAGCACCAATGAAAGTAGGCCATGAAAATGACACTGCTTGACATTTACACTTCTCAGTATTACTACACAATAACTGCAGTAAATTGCTGAAGTGCATCACCACAAAGCAGAACAAACACTAGCAGGGAATATACAGGATTTGAAAAAAACTGAAACAAACAAACACCCTATCTTGTTGCTACAGTCAAACTACTCTTGCTGAAGTTTTTTTTTTTTTTTTTTCTCCCTGTTGAGCATTTCTTCTGAACATACCTGATGGCAGAGGTCATGGAAAGCCACACAGGACAACTGTCAGATGAGACAATGTTTCTTACTTTCACTGACACAACATGACCTTACACTGCTTTAGGAACGATACGCAGTGAGGATATAAAAACACACACTCATGCCTAGATCTGCAAGCCCGCGCAGTATCTTCAGGTGCACACATATACACACATTACAATGCACACAAGCATTGCTTTCTACCTCTGGCTCTTTCACTGAATTGCACTGCACAATGTTCAAGGAATGGAAAAAATATAATGCACGTTGTCCTATGTTTTGTTTGCTGGTGAAGTCTTGCTATTCTGGAGTCATTCAGGTCAACTGCCCAAATGCACACACTCACCGTGGGCGTTTTGCTCATTGAGCTAGCGGGTGGGTTCAATGAGGAGAAAGAACGGCATGCAACAGCGGAGTGTTGACCGCTGCTTGTTGACATTCCCCATCTGTTCCCATCCCACACATCTTTGCGCACACGTGACCCCATTCAACTCTGCGAGGTGGACACACCGCTTTATAAGAAAGCTGATCTGATTAGCCGTCTGATTGCTTGTTATGTCTGCGACAAAGTCACCTTGAGCTCGCAGTGCGTGTGGATTTCAATAATGTGTGTCAGTCAGTCAGTTGGTCAGTCAAGTCGGTCAGGAGCAGGCACAGTCATGAGGCTGCACCACCTCTGTGGACAGAAAACTACAACGGATATGAGTGATGCAGTGGGTGACAAGGTTTGACGAATGTGGCAGGTCGTAATTCTTCCTAACTGAGGAAAAAGAAAGCATATTTAAGCATCATTATATTTATCATTATCATGCTGGCAGCCAAGTTTGGACCATAAAAACTTCATTCTTTATAGTCAAACTTATAACAAAAACAAAGAAGTTTTGAAAGGGTGCAAATGAGAAGGCGTCATCCACCTGTTTGGACAGACACCAATGCTACTCTCTCATCCTCCTCTTGGACACAGGCCAGAGAAATAATCACATATTTTAGGAAACAGAAGATTTACCCTTCACCTGCATTTAGTCCAACTACAGAGATGGTTTGCCTTTTTTTTTTTTTTTTTAAAGTCAGGAACCAGCCTTCATGAACTGTTTTCAGACAAAAAAAAAAAAAACAATGGTGCAAAAAGACATTTTGAGCAAAACTGTTTGGGGACCTACAAGTGTAAATGAAAGAAGGCAAAATTTCACTGATATCTCTGTTTAACACTAGACTCTCGTTGCTGATTATTGGTTGATAATTCGGGCGGACTAACGGTCAGCACTTAGTGAAGAAGTCATCCAGGATATTCAGAACAAACGGTGTCAGTCTGAACATGTTAGTAATCCAGTTTTCAGAGTTTTTAACCAACAATATATTGACACAGTAGTTAAAATAGTTTTTCTCCACACCTGATGCCCCTAATAGAATCTTTACATTTATCTTGTAGTAAAATAGAACTGCAAACGGCAATAAAATTGTGTGTATTTCATCATACCATATTTGTACATTTGTATTCTGATATTGAGTTTTGTATTGTGATAATTCACAGTGCGAGTCACTTTGTATGTTTGACAGTTACAAAGCTGCATCACTTCTCACTGAATACCAAGTTCATTCCTCAGAATCTAAAGCTGTTTCTATTCCAGCAACTAATCACTTCTGTAACCATGAATACGCATTGTTTGTGTGTATATTACTATTATCCAACATTGTCATAAGCCCCTGATCCAAGTTTTGTACACACTGCTTCTATTTACCGCAGCAAAGGTCACTTACATTTTGCACAGTGCCATGACAGGTTAAAGTCACAAACCACCACTGGCAACTTGTTTAAGTTTTCAGTGTGAGCACAAACAGAAGCAGGACACTCTTTAAAATACAGGTTTATGTGGATGCTGCTGAGCCTTATAGCTAACAAGTCATTTAGCCCAGAGGAAATATGAAGCCCGAGAATGCTGAGGCCGTCCCCAGAACCTCAGTGAACCTGGAAAGCTTCCATACACACACAGCCCTCTGTGCATTGGTGTAGGCTTCATATGCAACATGGCACTCAGCAACTTGCCTGCTTAGTGACCCACTTTCAGACCGGCTAAAGTTAGACCAACTAGAACTGGTCTGAACTGTTGCCATCAAAATCTAAAAGGTCATCTCTTTTCACTGAGTCATTCCTAACTGACAGTTTCATTTAGAATAAGATAACGCTCTTAAGTATTAAGCAATTAAAAAAAATAAAAAATAAAATCTCTTTTAATCAAATTATTAAAAAGATCACACTTTTACAATAAAAAAAAGGATGTCACTTATTTCCAGCTGTTGTTGCTGATGCCGAATTCAGAGAGAGTGAGAATCTCATTAGGTTGAGACAGGTTGAGTCAAACCTCCATGCAACTATCCATCAAACTGGATCAGTGTGTTGCTTTTATGATGTTTTACACTGTTCATGTCGATTGTATGTTTCTAGTTTTTGCCTCTCTCATAGGTTTAGATATTACATCTGTAATTTACCACCGATTCTTCAGATGCTCTTTTACTTGATCTGATGATTTTAAGCCTCGGCGTGTTTAACTTTCCATTATGGTTCTGTTCAGTGAGTGAATACTTGCTCCACCTCTTCTGATTTGCTGCTTGTCTTGTATGTCAGTATCTGCTCTGTGCGGCCACTTGCTGCTTTCACTCCAGTCCAGACTTCCCCACCACCCCTACAAGGGTGCAAATCTGTCAGTGCTGGTTTAAGACCAGTCTTGAATCGAGGACGGTGGCATCCCTTGCCACCACCATCTCCACATGCATCGCCGGACCTCTGGACAGGCTGCACTGTTGCTCCTGGCACAGCCGGATCCAGCCTGAACACACTGCAGGAATCACCCCTCTCACGTTACACGATCATGGTTACAGACAATGCATTCTTAGTAGTAGTCCCTAAATATGGACTCACCCAACTTAACTGTGAAGTACTGAGGTGCAAGATGCAGGAAAGGGAAATTATGTCATTTACATTTGGTTCTTCTGCGCCGTTTGAAGCCGCACGCTGAACTGCAGGAAAACTGCAATGCGCGGTATAAAAGCGGTTAAAATGGGGTCCAAGCGAGACGTGCATGTGGTTTACAGCGTGGGTGCCTTAAGTTTCAGTGCGTATTCAGGCATGCACTCAGAATTACGCACAGAAACACGTTTCACGTATTAGCTCTCTAACTGATGTGTGGACCCTGAAAACCATCTAACCCAAGGAAGTGATACTGTAAAGTTCACACACACACACACACATACACACACACACCGCACCACCATGTGCATGCATGTGACTACGGTAGAGTAATAGTAGGTCTTTACCTTGTAAAAACCCCGCGGGAGCGCATGAAGCAGTGAGCCAAGACAGCGAGCTTCCTTGTGAGGTCTTAAAAAAAAACAACAACAAACAAACAAAAAAACAGCAAACTGCAGAAAACAAAACTGCGTCCACACACGGTGATCGGCAAAGTTATGTGTATTTCTTTACAGGTGGTAAGGAAGAATTTAAGATTCCGGGTTTCTCTGTAAAGCGCGGTGAAATGGAGGAGGGGATACAGAGGCAAACAAGCAGCCCCGCCCGCTCATTACTATTTACAGTTGTGCAATAGCTCGAGGCTGCATGTAGTGACCAACTGCCAGAAGTGGCTTCTGGCTTAAGTCAATAACAAAGTACTCACGACTGTTACTTCACATTGAAAGTGTCATGTGGAGTTTTGATCATCAGGCAGGTAAGCAAAAAAGAACTGGAGAGCTTTAACAAAGAACCCAGAGTTGGTGTGTAGCTGCTTCAGTGAAGCTTTCTTTGTGGTCACAAGCCGTAAAATTAGTGACAATGATTCTATTTCATCCTACGGAGCGACTCAAAACGTAATGATCCTTAAATTGAAGCACATTGGAAATAATAGTAATGGGTTGTTCCTTTTAGATGACACAATCTCATTAGCTGCAGTTCTCACATGAAATGTAAATGAAAACTTAACATCAATCTTTCGAATGAATATTTTATTCACAGGCAAACAATACTAAAACAAAATTCTTACAAATGTGACTCTGGTGTGGTCATGAGGGCAGTCTGTACTGTAGGGATGAAGTGGGGATCAAAGATATGACCATCAAGTCAACTGTAACTCTTTGTGTGCAATTTCTACCTTTTGGCCACCTACCAGGATTTTTTGGGTTTTTTTTTTTTGGCACATACGTTAAAGAGTATGTGAGTTAAGCGGTTTTTACAGATAGTCGGGTTGAGTATAGTGTCAATGGAGAACAGTAATCCATGTCAACAAATGTTTACTCCTAATAAATTATGCATTTAAAATATTGCCAGCTCAAAGCATTACTGAGTAGTTGTTTTGAGCTGACAATACAAGGCCTCATTTCAGCATGAGTCATGTGTTGCTAGGTGTATGGGCACACCTTTCTATACATTATTCACAATATTTACAACAAGGGTTTTTTTTGTTTGTTTTTTTACCTTCTGTTTTCAAGGTCAAGGTAAAAAGTGTTGAGTTTTATTCCAAATCCATTTACACGTGCTGAATACAACAGAAGTTAAATGAAAGGCTGCTGCTGTTATGTCTCCTATGACTTGGCTTCCAAAAGTGGTTTGATATCTTTAATGCCATGCTCCGCTGCCAAAGTGATGATGTGGTCCAGGCCATTCATGTGACCCAACATCTTCACGAGTTCTTTCACCTGATCCCTGTTGGCAGATATGGGTTACATTAGGAAGCAATGTGGAGACATACCCAAAGCATCACAACACATTTGTCATCCTACTCAATGCACCTTCGATGGTATTCTAGCATAGGGAGGTGTAAATGAATTCAACGTCCCCAATCTGACAAACTCTCTAAAGCTGTAGATACAGAACCGAGTAGAGCCTCTTACTTTGCACTGCGGCGTTCCACATCCGAGCCGCCAACACTGCTGCGGTGCAATGAGTTTGCCAGGTGGGTGAGGTAGCGACAGAATGGCTCCAACTGAGGCAACGTCTGCTGGCCCTTCAGCCCAGAGAACCACTGCACTGGCAAACACTCCACCACCTGAAGAAAAGGTACAAGGAGAGATAAACGCTGACGCTGTTGTCACCCCGGTCAGTGAGTCATGAGTGGCCAAAGCTGACCAGCTCAGCAGGAGTGATTGTCAAGTTAAGGCTGCCAGCTATGAAAAAAAAAAGAAAAAAAAAAAAAGGGGGGCACCGTGAAGTGGAGAGAAGCAGGTCACACTGACCTGGGCTGAGAGGATGTTGTCATAAAATATAAGCACCTCTCATCAAGCTGTCAAATCCAGGAGAGGAGCCAGTTTCCATTACCCAGTTGACCACAAAAAAAATCATCTCTATTTTTAGACATGGCAGGGACATCATGTACTATTAAATACAGTAAGGTGTCTCTGGAATCATTTTAAAACCTACAAAAAACAGACGTGTAATTACAGAGTGGGTCTCGGAAAAGTGAAGCTTATTTTAAAAATCTGAATTTTCTTCTTATCTCAGATTAAACCTGTGAACCTTTTTGGGAAGAGAGTCCACATACAATCGCACCATTTGCTGCATTAGTGATGGTGTGTATCCTGAAATACCAGACAGCATCATCTCTGGAGTTGAAATAGTTCTCATGGAAGCCAAAGAAATGAAACCGTTGACTTAATCAGGTATCAAATACTTGTGTCAACAGTGTGGGGTGCTTAATTTAAAATAAAATTGATTTAAAAAAAGCACTTATGCAACCTGCTTCACCGTTACAAATTGTAATTAAACAAGAATCTCCCTCAGTACCCATCCTCCAGGCCAGAGCCCTGGTAAAGGGAATTAAGTACAGAAACTGAGTAATTGCTAAAAAAGGAATTCATAGTGTCTTGCTCTAGTACATCATGCAGCAGACCATGGAGTCAAAACATCTGACAAAAGAGAACCCTGTGGCCAATCTCCTCTGTACCTGCTTGTAATAATGTGGTTCTCTTTCCACAGAGTTATCACTGAACTGAAATGTACAATATTCTTATTGTCGTAAACATGCAAATGGAAGGTGGAGACATGGCGATGGGTGTGTCATGGCTCCTTCTTTTCTTTTCACATGGCTTGTCATGTGAGGAAAGAAAGCAGTGTCAACTTTTATAATGTAACAGGATGAACATTTGCCATAGTATTTTGTTAAACACGCAGGAAAATACACAGAGTGAAAAGTTGGTTCTGTTGGAGTTTTCTTCCTGTTAAAAGGATGTTTTTTCATTCCCACTGTCACTAAGTGCTGCTCATTGTGGGGACTGCTGGGTTTCTCTCTATAACATTGTAAGGGCTTGACCTTACGCTGTAAAGGGCCATGAGATAATGTACATTATGATTTGGTGCTATACAAAAAAAAAATGAATTGAAAGTCAACCCATCCCTTTCTATATAGACTGAAATATGACAAACTGACTTAATTCATATCCAAAGATGTGGACTTTAAGGAAGGAAACTTGGATGTGTCGACTTCTTTCAGTAAAATAAACATCTCCTTTGCCCACTATATTTGCCCTGGGAAAGTGAACTTATCTTACAACATGAAACAAGCAAATTACTGATTTTTCACGCATTAATTTAAAAATAAGTTATTAATTGACAGACAAACTGATTCATATCTTTCATTCAAAACAAATTAATCTGAACAAGCCTCTGGATACACAAACACCTCTGTGTGTGTGTGTGTGTGTGCTTACACCCGAAACATGAAATGGCAACAAAATAGCGTGCATCTCCTACCTTCTGGCACTTCTGAACATTGTCCTCCGCTGTATCTGTGGTCTGAAGCGCAGAGAGGATATATCTGTTCAGAGTGCTGTCCAAAGCCAGGTCCTTCAGACAGGAACTGGACAAGATGCCGTCCCACTGCAGGATGTCGCCCAGCAGCTACGCAAAGAGGGAGAACAAGAGCAACACAACAACGCACTGCGTCAATATCAGAGTAGTTTTATTAGCTGCCATAGATGTAAATGTTACAATCAGTGGTTACAACACAGACTATATTAAGTACACGACTTAATGTAGGTATGGTAAATCCATCCCAACAGTTTTTTGTTGCGTTTATCTCTCTTAAAACTTGACAGATACACTTCCATCAAACAGATGCACCTCAATATGCAAACCTATGAATTTTCTTGGTTTACCCTTTTAATCATTCAGATTAGATTCGGAAGAGAACTGTGAGTGTGCACATACCTTCACACAGGACCAAAACTGCCTCTGGTAGAATAAGTACGGACCGCTATTCTTGTTCTCCAACACACTGAATAGAAACAAAAACACACTTTTAAATCACTTATCAAGCGTCATCATACAGATTGAATATGAATAAATAAAAAACTGCACTAACTCCGATGTTAACAATTGCGTAACTTACTTTTTGGGGTAGAGTGGAAGGAAGACATCTTCATCCAGGGTCCGCCTGGTTCTTAAGACAATAGTTTTCAAAAGCTCCTGATGGAGAAAACAAGGAAATCAAGATGACAATAATTCTACCAAAAGAGCCAAAACCGCTCTTGTACAGATGAAGTATTATATGTGTATTGAGGTAGGTAAGAGACTGGACAGTACCTGTGTGTATCGGTTGTCCCCTTGCAGCACAGTGGGGTAACCTTTCATTAGTCTGTGAACGAAGCCCACCAGCCTGGCTGTTTGACTGCTCGACAGCGGGTCCCACACTTGCTCTGTCAACACTGACACACACACACACACACAACACCACCACACACACACACACACACACACACACACACACACACACACACACACACACACACACACACACACACACACACACACACACACAAATTCATAAACACACATGACTTATTTTGCACTGGCCTGCATTGTTTTCACTAAGGTAATCTTTCTGGGTGTGCTAGGCGCTGCTGTGCAGGTTTTTTCTACCTGTCAGTTTGGACAGGATGACCTTCTCCACAATAGCAGGCAGCAAAATGATATCCCCATCTCCACTCTGCAACGTGCTGTGCTCCTCAAAGCCGTAAAACAACAGCGACTCGAACCAGAGCATGTATTCGAAGTTTGCACACTGTGCCTGCACAGGGAAGACAAAACAGATTTCAGAATTTCCCATTTCAAAAAAGGAAAAATGTTACACTGAAGGCACACATACTGTATATGTCATACCTCGAGAGGGTTCCATGTAATCAGCTGTAGGCGGACTAAAGGGTTAAAGAGTTTGGGTAGACAGAGGCCAATGTAAGCATCTCTGTAGCAGTCGGCATAGTCCCGTCTCCACACTTCAAAATGGGATTTGATGCAGTCAAGAGAATGAAAGTCTTCCACCACGTCTTCAAATACTTTCTTACATTCCCTGACGATACGATCTGGATGGGATGAAAGACAGGAGCTTCAGAATGTTTCATGCGTTATGTCTACATATTTCCCAGTTCTCCTCAGTATGGTCAATACTGTAATTTAATGACGAACCTCTCTCCATGTTGAAGCTGGTGATGTCAGTAGACGTTTCCTCATCGTCAGATGATAAGCCTTCTTTATGCTCAGCCCTCTTTCCATTCTGCTCTCGAGCTTGTCGCCGCCGAGTTCTGCAAACCAGCAATCACAAAGGCAGACAATTAAAACCATTTTATTCTTCTCTAAACTTTATTCGTGATAAACCACTTCACAAACTGAGCTACATTCAGGGCTGTAAAGCAGAGAAATAAAAACACAGAGAGCTAAGCTCAGATGTGAGTTTTTGGCATTTCGTGGTCTGACACAAGTACAAACACAGTCAGCTGAGAGCATAGAGCGGATACCTTTAGCCTGGAAACAAGTCACAAAAGAATTCATCTGACAAATCCTGGAAACATGTCTTTTAAATACAAATGAGCTTCATACCGTCGTGCTTCTCTTTCTGCTATCCTCCTCTGACGACTGTGCTCTTGGTATGCTGCACGGTCTCGACCAAATGAGTCTAAATTAGGAGCCATGACAGCTTTATCTGCAAGAGACAGGAGCCATTTTAGAACCAGTAATGAAAAGTAGAGACAACCCATAACCTATTTCTTATTCTGGGCACTAAACATCTCTGAACTCTCAACATAAAGAGATTTCAGTTTTTGAATAATCCAAATGTTTAACAATAAATTGGATGAGATAGGTAAGTGGTAAAAGGACTGTTTTCAGCTTACGTTCAAATATTTACCGAAACCTCCTTATCTACTGTATTAGGCATCACCAGTAACAAGACATCATATTTGTTACAAATGATTTTAGTATCATTCTGTGTCTAGTCACCTACCTGTCTGCAACTTTCTACATGTTACAGTGAAAGTGACAGATGACAAGTCACTCATGTTTTTGTCATCTTTACTTAGTGACTCATTGCTTGCGCTGAGTTACACCCAGCTGACTCTGAGACTCAGCCATTAAAGAGCAGCCAAAACAGCTCCTCTAATAAAACATCTCCCATGTACATACATGCTCACGCACTCAAAAATCACACCTCAATTAGCCGTAATCACACTAATGAGGGAAACAAAACAGAGGTAGTGGGGAAACAAGAATGTGAACAACACACACACGCACACTCACTCACATACAGAGAACTAACGAGGCCGTTCAAATAAATCATAAAAACCTTCAAGATGGACTGACTTGAAAGGCTTGCAAACTCCGACGATTCATCTTTAATATCATCCTGTCTTCTCTGGACAAGTCGTGAGGCCCGTTGCCTTAGTAACTGGTGCATGGCAGCCTCCAGCTCCAGGACAGCAGGCACCTGAAAGATATGATGCCTTCTGTGACCTCTGACCCAAACAAAAGTGGGGCTCCGAGTCACAGGGATGTCTTGCAGGAGCATGATGGACAATAAAATACTGGAACCAAAAATGTCACTAGTGTCAGGTGAAAAGCTGGTAACTCTAAAATATCTATTTCCATGAAGTAAAGCTTGAACACTCATGACCAGCCAAACCAAGTTAAATGGCTAGTTAAAAGCCTGAAGGCAACAGATTAAAATCACAAAAATGCAGTTAAAAGGTTTTTACCCAACACTGACAATTTACAGTTCCAGTCATGATGTTTACGCTGTAATAATGGTCTCCATACTAAGGCATACTGATAATGGTTGGTTAGTGTCCCGTTTCCATCACAATGTTCTGTGCACTCAGTCACCTAACAGGGTTAAAACGGACATTAGTGTGGTTGAGGAAAGACATGCTGGCAGCTGGCAGGCCAGTTCTCTCTTCATTCATTCCATGTAGCTGCTGCTCTGCTGCTGCAGGATCAAGACCACGTTATTCTGTTCAGACATGCGTTTACTATGTAGCTATAGGAGCACGAAAACATAGTTTGTGTCAGAGGCATAATTTCATTATGTATTAACAAACTGAACTCATCCTCTTTTACAGACCTAACACTTGTGTACATACTGGGTTCTCTTAAAGCACCAACTCATTGTACAATAACTTTGTTTATTCATTGTTGGAGGGTGTATAAATGAGTTGTGTTCAAGAAACTAACAGTGTTAAACAACCTGATTCATTATGAACTAAGAGTATTTTCCATTTACAAAAGCATCTTGCTAGTAGCTAGATAGTAGATCAAAGTTATATTTCTGACTAAAATTAGAGCAGTTGAGAAGCAACTGCTCTAATTTACACAGAGAGTGCTCCAAGTAACTAATTTGCAGTCACAACGGCTTGTCAGCACTGAGTGATAAAAATTGTTCCTAAAAAAATAAGTACAAAACAACATAAAGAAGCTTTTTATGATTCTCAATTAACGCTTCAAAATACAGATGTTCATTAGATTCTATCTTTTCAGAATCCACAATAAGCGGTCAGAGCTCACACAGACACAAAACAGAAAACAGCTAATCAGACAGCAGATAAATTCTCCCTTACCTTTTCACTGAAACACTCAAGCAAGTCTCCAACATACCCTCGCATCTCTTGCAAGAATTTATATTGATCTGCATTGTCATTGGATGAGCCCTCCAGCTGCTGTATGGTGCTCTCAGAGGCAGCTAGGTCGTCTTCAATCTGTTTGTAGCGCTTGGCGTTTGCGTTGTGGCCTGCATGCATTTGGCTGAGTCTACAGACACATGACACAGGGGAAAGACAGTAAGAAAGGATGACTTAGATGGGGCTGAGGAAAAACAAAGCTTCTCTATTTTTAATGACTGACATTTAGTGTGCAGAAAATAATTGTTTGAGAGTGCACCCATCAAATTGACACATCATGCAAACTGATTAACAGGAGACAAGCTAAAATAATGCGCTCGAGCTGAACAGGAGTTGTAATAAGGGGGACTAATGTAGCCCCCCCTCCAGACCCTTTCATTTCCTCTCTGTCACTTAGATTCTGTGGACAGCTTTGCTGGGTCTTCAGGACCACAGCACACAGAGATGGCAGCAGCTGAGCTGAAGACTGACATTAGATGTTGCTGCAGTCTTCCACTGAACCTACCTATCCTGCAGGCGTTTCTTTACCAGATCAATGGATACCGGGGTTAGATCACTAATAGGGGCCCCGTAGTGAACAGAGCCATTGTCTGCTCGGCCAGTTGGCTTGCCAGTCGGCGGGGCCACAGTACTGTAGGTGAAAGGCATGCTGTAGGAAGAGCCATAGGGCTGGGTCTCGTAGCTGTTCTGGTAGTAGACGGTGTTGTCCTCTGGCTGGTTGCTCTGGACCTGGTCATTAGAAACAACAAACACATAATGCTTTTACTACGACAACTCAAGAACACAAGATATTCAGTTTACATCCACAAACAACAGAAAAGAGCAGCAGAAAATAATCTTCACTTTTGAGAAGCTGGAACAAGCAAATGTTTGGCATTTTTGCTTGACAAACAAGGATTTTCAGTCAATCGACCAATTGTTTGATTGACAAATGGTATCAGAACCACAACTCATAATAATGATAATCTGTCAGACTTAAATGTCAGATTTTTATAAAGTAATATACCAATAACCACAAAATGAAACAATAAGAAAATTTGAGGAAAACATAAATCATCCATTGACAAAAGAGCTTAATATTTTACAGCTGTTAAGGAGATTTTGAGCAGTTTACCTGGGGTATGCTGATTCCTTTCCTAATCTGCTCCTGCTCCCAACGGCTCACCTCCTCATCCTGACCTGTATCCAGGGCCTCATCATCACTACCCTCGATACCTGCAAGTGTGAAGCGTGTCTTAGAGACAAGTGATAACAGTACTGATCAATGGATAGTCAGCGCACCATAGTCGTACGGTACCTATCTCCTCAGCTATCTTTTGTCTCTGGCTTTTGTTCCTGACTCCACTGAAGCGGATCCTCTTCTCTTCCTCGTCTTCATCATCGCTGGCATCTTGGTCTTCCCGTACGAGACGTTTCTTGGGAGCTTCTGTCTCCACCAGTGGAGCTTCACCCCCCAGTTCTCTAGCCATTTGCCGCCGCTTTCTGGCAGCATGGATGAATGCCGCATCTGGGATTTCCCCTAGAATAAAAGAGAAACAGGTCTTGAACCAAGTACTTGTGTAGTTTTGTGTACAAATACCAATACGTCTTTCAGGTAATTCTAAAATCAGTAGGAGAATACAGTCTAAAAAGTATTATGACAACCAAACTAACAGATTTTTCCTGCTAAATAAATAGAATAATAATATAATAATAAATAACACACTAGAGGAGTATGTAAGTTATCAATAACATCAGGAGCTGGACCTTTCATTACAAAAGTGAGTGTTAGACCAGCAGTTAAATTTGAGAGTGTGTACGATACCTGGTTTTAGGCTGCCGAGGGAGGAGAGGGTGTTGAAATTTGCTCCAGCGTTGTTGCTTTTGGACACTTGACCTTGTGCCTGGCCACCTTGGCCCCTTGCCTCTTCCTCCTGCTCATCCGCACTGTCCACCTCCATTTCTTCCTCCCCCTGCTCACTACCTGCTCTGCTAGTGACTTCCTCTTTGATTGCAACAGGAAGCTGAAGTGGTGCATCTGGGAAAACAGGATAGAGACACAGATGAGTATATCCCAGGCTTTCAGTGTGGGATTTCGGGTATTGCGCATAATTTCACTGATGCTCGCAAACATAGCACTTACATTGCGGGAGATACCCACACACATTTACAGCTATGTGTAATAACGTTCAGTTAATGTTTGCACAGACCGACTTCCGCCCTGGACAACACACTGCAGCATCTCTCGCTAACATGTACAGATAGGTTTCAATGACATTATCTTGAGGGCACGGAAACACTGGCTAAAACATAAATCTACATCATCTGAAGTGGGATGTGATTTGTCAACATTAACAAATTTAATCAACAGGCTCCTCAGACAAGTAACGGTAACATCACTAAGGTGACGCAGCAGTCCAATGACAAGTTTCAGGCTAACTGGCTCGGAATATATCTGTGGCTTGGGCTAAAGGAGCCTTGAAAAGAAAGTGCGAGGCAGATTCAGCAAAGACTGTGATGTCATGTCAATGTGGATTCAGTACACAAAACAGGATTAATACTAAATTCATACATTCACTGTGTAATACAAAGCTCACCCTCATCAATCTTCATTTTTGTTAACAAAGTGCTTTCCATTAACGTATGTCTCCATCTCCAAAAACATATGACATTTGACTCTCAAGGTTTTGAGCACTTAGGGCATTGATTGAACATATTTTAACAACTTATGAGACAAATGTTGCAGTTTCAAAGTCAGCTAGGCAAGTTAAAGTATTATTGGTTGGTAATGTGACAGCAGATATAACACGTGATGTATCATGAACACTGTGCTGTTTCCCACCTGATTTGATTTCCTGCTTGACACATCCAGATTTCTCCAAATCCTCCTTGTATTCCTTCTTCAGCTGTTTCACAATCTTCTTGCTGTGGTTTGATTTCTTCACTCTGAACACCTCGGATCCCTCTGTTTACAAACATGTCATGATGTGAAAGTGAGTGGAGAGTCAAGTTAACCATGCACATCATTAACTAAGTGAAGTTGGTATTCATATGAATGATTATCGGTTAGGTAAAGTGCTTATCTATAATGCTTTATGCAATTGTTAACACGGGTTCCGTATCCTCAGCGGAAATAAACGGTAACGTTAATACTTAAACCCGACATCACAACACGTTTTCTTCAGCTAAGATTAGTTAGCTAGCTGGCTTAGCATCGGTTTACCATGTTACCTTCGTCATCGTTGAAACTCAGCAAACTGGCTTTCGTGGGTCCAGGTACCGCAGCTGTCTCTTTGATTTTCTTTTCTCTCTTGACAGCTCTTACACTGTTAGGGTTACCCTGAAAGCCGTTGCTGTGATAGTTCTCCGTGCTGCTAGGTGCACCGGCAAGGCTGTTATTGGAGGTCTCCATAAACGGGATTTCCTCCACGACAGGCCCGAACGATGTCGGCGCCAGCGGGGGCAGCTGACTCTCCTCCTGCTCGTCCTCGTCGGACTCATTCCTCCGTCGAAAGTTAGCTCGTTTCGCCTTTTTAAACATTATGTTTCTCCGTTAAATGCATCAGTCTATGGTCAATCGCAGGACACCTTAAAACTGTAGTTGGAGCCAAAATAAATTATCCTCACACCGCAGGTCAGCCATTTTCTGTCTGATATTGTGTTTCTTCTTCGTCTTGAATGTGAACGTGAAGCCGAGTAAAGTACATGCGTCACAGGCACATTACCGCCCTCAACTGGTCAAAGATAGAACAGCTGCGCATATTGGTCGTGCAAAAACAATTAGTTACTTTACATGTAAGAATAAATAATCAAACAAATGAATAATAGGAAAACACAAGCTAAAAGAGTAATAAAGTTATGTATTATATCTACATGAATTGTGACATTATTAGTTTGAATAAGAGGCCAAGTTGGAAAATCTGCTGGTTTGTTAGATATTCCTGTTCATAAGACGTTTTCCAAAGCCTGTAATACAAATATTATGTTGTCTGTATGCTTATGTTTATTATTAGTTTTATTTATTTATTTATAAATTTACATATAAATGAACCGCATTACTTTCTTAAGGCAAAAGAAAGTAGTACTTCATGCTCATGAGAGCATTGGCTGGTGCAATTACAGAAAGGACATGATTCAACTCTCTGTTTTGTTTGCCTGATTATTCTCACTTCATCCAAATTGCATTTAACCTATCTGCTGTGTCCTGAGTCTGTATTTCATTCCAAGCTATTTCAGTCATTCCGACAATTCATAACACTGCCATGACTTTATTTCTATGAACCTTCATAACTCTACCTTTGTACACATGGTCAAGGGAAGTATTAATGATACTGACTGTTATAACATGTAGGGCTGACTTTGACAGCCATGGTCAAATCAACCCAAAAAAACAGTTTTCAGTGAAGCAGTTGCACTCTAACACATTCAACCACATGACTCATTTGTGTTTGTTCATGAAGGCTGCCATGACAGGCTACACATGTCCTCTAGTTTAATATCAGATTGCCAGGACAGACATATCCAGGGTTGTGCCAACTTTGCACTGAAAGTGAAAATGAATGACAACCTGATCAACTGAATGACTCTTGACAAAACATCTATAAAACACTCTTAAGTATTTGCCTATGGTGTTAAGTAGAACTAGACCTTTTTGTTTTTTTGGTTGGCCCCGTTTGTAGTTCATAAAATAATGGAGTAACTGTTTTAACCACTGAGATCAAAGGTTGCAGTCATAATTTTTAGCATCAGTACAGTCAAAGTAGGAAAAGCAGGTGTAAATAATCAAATTCCAGGGTCCCTGTATCGTTCGCACCGTCTTACTGGGAATACAACATGGCCATAATTAAAGTTAATTATGTAACACCTGTGCTTTTCCTATTATGAGTCAAAATTAAAATGTCTGCTGTGCAAAAGGCCTATTGTGCACAACTCAAAGGGATCAAAGTCATGTATGTATGTATGTATGGGAGTTAGTGGCTGACTGTTCAGTATTTATTTACATAAAAGATGTTACAGTACACACAGGTAAAAAGATAGACAAATAAAAATACAGATACATCAGGTACCTTCCCACACCTCTTTTCTCACAAAGTCCCTTCCCTCAAAAATGATCTCCTGTCATTTTTATCTCACTTTCATTCACCCCTCATTATCTCTGGGCTATTTCTTCCACTTAGCTACTTACCAGATGACAGCTTTTTGAAAAATAGTCTGCAGAAGATGAAAGATCCAAATGCATACCTCTGAAATTGCACCTGATTGCTACAGTATGTATGTTTGCATGCTAAACACATGATGGGAAATGGAGGAGTTAAGAAGAGCATCTGTCTCGTCTAATAGGAACAGATAATATGTATTCTGGACTTCCACCATACTCAGTTCCTTTAATAAATGCCAGACATGTGAGCTGCAGTTAGTGAGGGTCATTACAGAGCCATTACTTGACACAGTGTAGTCGACGCTGTGGTAGTGATAATAACTGCTGAAATTAAAGTGTCACCACAGATGAAGCTGGAGTGATATGTTGTGATTAATTAACATCAAGATGACCCTTTGCCATTAAAGCGATAATTGGAGATAAATATCTTCCTATTAATGGCAGAGTTTCAATTTTAAAGTCCCAGCACCATTTTTTCCCCATAACAATACATATTCATAATTGAGGAGTAGAGTTAGCGGAGCAAAAACTTCTTCTTATCCTACTGTGATACAGTGAGAAGTATCCTGGAATCTATCAATTGCAAATGATGAACCTATCGTGGTAATGATGATTGACTGCAAGTATCATAAATTTCATAAATATAATTTTTTTGTTTAATCTTGATGTTTTTTTTACCTCAGAAATCTGTGTATGTTCTTGTGAATGTGCAGCGCATTTGGAAATGTAGCTGCATATTAACTTGGATGAGGGATGGAGCATGTGCCATGAAAGAATCCATTAAATTTTGGGGCAGATCTGGATCATTTTCCATGAATTTGAATTTTGTCTCTCTGAAGTCTGGTCTATGTTATTTGACACTGGCCTTGGTGGAAGTCTGCACTCTCTGAGTGCCCCTTCTAGTTGAATATGAGGTCAATGTGTTGCTTACTTAGTCTTGATAATTGAGATAAACTTCTTCTCCAGACATGTTTGAAACTATGTAAGAATACTCTGCTATGATTAATATTTTGTTTAACATGGTTTTCCCACCTAACAAAAGACAAAAAAATGGAAAATTGGGACGGGAGGCACATCTACGCTTACTTCCCCATTGAGAAATTCGAGATCACGCCTTATGCCCCGCCCACCACTGCTGCTTACGCTAGGTTGACAGGTGACAGAGCAGTGAGCATCAAGATAGTTAGAGGAGGAAACATCAGAGCGATTCAGCCACATGTTTCAGCCTCAGTCAGACACAGACTGAGGAGTTTGGTGAAGAGTGAGGAGTTTGTTGTGCACCAGAATTGGCAGCTAGAGGACATATCAGAGCGGTAAGACTAGTCATTTGTTCATGTTGTTTGTTAGCTTGTAACTGGAAGTGGCTAACTCAGTAGCTTTGCAAACTCATGCTTTCTGTACTGACAAGGTTTCGGTGACCAGTGAAAGAACAGTGCAAATCAGTCAGACCTCGACTCAGATGAGTAGTGTGTTGTGCACTAAAATTGGTAACATGCAGACATATAAGAATGGTTAGCGCAGTTAGCATCTTTTATTTGTTTATTGTTGTTTGTTAGCTTGAAACTGGCAGTGGCTGACAAAGTGTTAGTGGTTGTATTTACGCAAACTCTTGCTCTCTGTACTGACAAGGTTTCCAGTTTATTTTGCCCTGACCCCCCTGTTCCTGCAAATTGGCAGGATTGGTTCCTTAGTTATATGGTATATGAACCCCAGGCTGCCTGTCATTGGTTGACTGCAGTTCCAAGATGGAAATAAGCAGTCATGGCGTTGACTGCTTATCTCGGTCATGATACATCTTGTTTTATATTTAAAAAAAACATTATATGGACATGTTAACAAGGTTAAAAACTTGATTTTCATCGGAGTGGGTCTTTAAATTGAAGGGTTGTACTTCAGTACAATGTGCAGTAACACATTTGGATGTTTATACTGCAAACCCATCAGCCTATCAGTGGCAGAGGTATGTGTTGTTCCAGGTCCCTATTTGTACTCTAACTTTTAGATATAAGTGGCCACAATGTCCTAACTGACATTCAGAATCCATTAGTACTTGTGCTCTGTTGACTTGATAGTGTTTAAAGTGCTGGATGGTCAGCAATGGCGAGGTGACATCAGTGTGTTCCTGTCTTGGCACCACAGGGGATTTCTCAAGACTTAAAATGAGACTCAAACATGGATCGATTGTTCTTTAGTGTCAAGAAGCTTGCAATTCATCTAAAAACCACTTGATGGCACTGTAGCCCCTTTTAAGTGGAAAGCTGTGTCTTATTTGTGGCCAAGGTGCGCTCATAGTTCACTCATGTATAAATGCTAATGAAATACAATGACATTTCCTGATCCAGTGAATGTATCTGAAACAAGCCAGCATGAATATAGATGACATCAATACTGCTACTCAAAGGTTCATAAGGCTCATCAAATCACTCCTCTCATCACTAAGAGGAAGCTGTTGCTGTGTGATCATTTCAGGCGATTATTTGTAAAAGAAAAGCAATCCAATTTGTGTGAGAGATATCATTATTTGTTTAGTTGTTGTTTATGTGCAGGGGACCATGGTAAAAAGGAGCAGAGTGTGTCATTATAGTGCAACAGGAGGGATGCCACTTTAAATTGCTCCTGCAGCATACAGTAACTGTAAAAGCAAAAGTTATAGAAGCCAAGGTTTCATTTGCACTGATGGAACAAACATCAGGGTTGAATAACCCAGCTTATTAAATACACAGTGTGCGCGTCAAGAGGTAATGAAGATGGAATGAGAATAAAAAAAGAGGCGCAGTAATGGAAGGACAAGAGGATGTACACCCTCCACCTCTTACTAACGACTTCCATTAATGCAAGACTATGTATATTCATTTACACAAGATTAAGATGTCAAAATTCGTCTGTTTTTAAAGCAAACATTTTATCCTTTAAAGCACATCTTTATATGAATCATGGAATAATGTGCTTTTCCTTTCATGAATGCAATCATGTTTTATAATAGAGGGAGTCAGTTTTATCTAAAGATGGATGTCTAATTTTAGAGCTCTTCATAGGTCCCACTGCTCTCAGGTAATAGCGTCCTTTGAAGACAGAAGATTAATGTTGTGATACAGCACACATGTACAAAGCTGCAAAACATTACTACTGTGGGTAACTAATTATACTTATCTGTAACAAGGGATCAGGATTCACTGAGGTGATTTCTGTTTAGACTCTGCATATGCTTTGTGTTCGCAGAGAACATTATTTCTCCTCCAGCAGAGGAATAAGGAATAACAAAGAATAACAAGCACATGTTCCAGGGTATAGTGGCCATTCTTATCATCAATTGCTAAAATGAAATCAAGTAGCTAAGTGCCTCTGTTACCAGGGACACCAGTTATTTTAACACAAATGGACCCAAAATCTAAGACAAACAAGAGGCACATGCATGGACTTTTTGATTCCACCGTTATTTATAGAGAGACAGAAAAAAAAAAGGTGTTTTGATCAGTGATTAGCACCAACCATCTT